ATTGAACCAATGTTCCTTCATTTGCTAAAAAAACTAAAGTTTTATTGGGCTGTGAGTCTGCTCTTGGGAAAGGCTTTTCTGTATCTTTACCATAATCTGCCTAGAAAAACAAAGACTCTAGGTTTTGTCTTCATCAGGTTTTTGATTATTAAGAAAACTGAGCCTTTTCAATATTAAAACGGTTAAAGCTTTTTATAACTATTTAACTTCCCGTATTTGCCTGTGAAATCTTTCATTGTCATTATGGTCAAAAGAATAACTAAGTATTGTTTCACAGTAAGCTATGATCCTATTTGAACAAGCATTCTAAAATCTCTTTGATATTTTTGACAGTTTCCCCCCAAAATAAAATGCTAAATGAAGTCTTTGTGACCTAAAACTAACTCTGAGAATTTCTAGAGGGCCCTTAGAACGTGTCAAAGGATTTATTCACTCTCCTTACAAAAAGAGAGAAAATAAACTAATGAGGGGCATTTGATATGTTCAGTCATATAAGAAGCATTATCAGATAAGTGGTAAGAAACCTTCTTAGGTTATATTGTACGGGTGAACGTTATTAAAATGTGTTCTAGACATTGTATGCGATTCCTAAAAATCTGGTATGTCCTAGTATAACGTTGTCACCTGTAATTCTAATTGCTGTTTTTAAATGTATGTCAGAAATAACCAAACTTACTTGTCAATTACATCATAATGAACTCTCCTTTGGTCCTTAATCGTGGGCATTTTTAAGGTTTTTTACAGACAATTATTGTTTCACCCTGGTGCTTTTGCAAATATGTTTCATCTTCAGAGAAATTCATAGAAAGGACTCTCTAAAGTCTTCCAAAATACCATCTCTGATATTTTCCAGACCATACCACTGAACTAAGTTAGAGGCTGCAGAACACTAAAAGAGATGCGCATGGCTTGGTAAAATTGCTAACTAAAGATCACCAAGAATTAGTTACCTGGGACTGAAATGAATATGATGAGTATCACTTGTATGACTTTTTTGTTTAAAGCATTGCTAATTTTTTTGTTCATGTTTGGTTTCCCAGATAGAAGGAACGCATTCCTCCTAAACAAACTGTGACTTTCAGCAATTTGCTAATAAAAATTATCCTTCTGCAAGCAGAGTTGAAGCACGTTACCTGTTTCTCCCTACCCGATCCCTCCAGAATTTGAAAACTCAGTGAGCATTCTTTATGGCAATATAGTTGTTTGCACAAGTCCGCGAAGACTCTGTTCTCCTTTCAATAGGACATGATTGAAACACTGGCTGCATTACCAAGGCTTTGCTGGAATGTCATGTTTGAGAAAAGCGCGCACAAACTCAGATATGGCCAAGCAGGCGTAGGGAACTAAGGCTGACTTCATGGAGCCAGTAAACTGCCTTGTCTGGCACTTTGCTCACAAGGTTCCCAACAGCCTGAACAGGTAGCGCAGGTCACTTCCCGGGCAGGTGCCGGGACCTCAGAATATTTGGGGAAAACTCAAAATCAAAGGAACTAACCCAAATCTTTAGGTACTGCAGGGTCAGCCTGATGGCAAGCAAGTCCTTGGCTCGGCCTCGCAGCCTTGAGAAGCATTTGAAAGTTCAGTCTGAGATTCCTTATGGAAAAGTCCAGCTGAGTAGACTGAACGATTGTATATGGTGAATCGCTGTGCTTGCTGCACTTCTGTCAATAACCAGGCCAAATTTAATGAAGCTAAACTTACTGTTCAAATAAACTGGTCTTAATCTGTCTATCTCTGGTGAAAAAATAAGGTGACTTGTAAAGAGAAAAATTACGTTTCAGTAAGACCCTTGTGGATATGGGGCCCCCAGGGCTGTTTATTGCCTTTGGAATGTGGTTTGTTTTCTAACGGGTGAGGTGGACTGGATCTCGAGTTCTTCTAGCTTCCTCATGTCGTGCCACAACTCTCCAAATTAGCATTTTCAATTTTTCCCCCACCTTTTTGCCTGCGGATCATTAAGAACAAAAGCTGCCATTTCCCCCCTAAGCCCTGCATGCTGGATGCAGACCAGTTGAAACAGACTTCAGAGTGATCGCCACAACAGCCCACACAGTCTCCATGCCTGTCGTCACGTGGCCCCTCCGAAAGGCCACCGGACACAGTTTCCGTAAACCAGGACGTCTGTCGGATTGCCACGACCTGCCCCCACTCTCCCTGCAGATGCTCTGCGTCTGACACCGAGATCTTCTCGACTGCCTGCCTTCAACACTCAAAAACTGCCTTATAATTCGCCCCAATCACTAAGCGTTGTTTTCCTTTGTTTCCACAGAAACGCCCCTGATAAACGCCGGGCTGCCTGTACCGTAGGCCTAACTTCGGAACCCACCCGCAGCACCGCCTCCTGCGATAAGACACGGCTGCACAGCTGAGCCGACCTATTTTCAAGACTAACAGATTCATTCAGTGAAATCATGAAACACTCTACCAGTTTGTCTTTTAATACATGAAACTTCCGGGGAAGTTTCAGGAGAGGGGATTGATGGAGTTCCGGACAGGCCAGGACAGATGTGCCAGAGCGCAAGACTGATTACTTTGACTTAAAGTTCTTTGACGAACGGCCGGTGCAGGAAAGATGCTCAGACCACCCTCTGTCCTCCGAAAGCAGGAAAGAAGTCTCCCATATGAAAGCGCCCCTTCCCTGCACCGGGATGGGGAGCGATGCCTATCACCAGAGACAGGGAATTCGGGGCCCAGAAGGCTGTGTAGCCACACTCTGCTCGGTCTTCCCTAATTAGCACCCAAGCCTAGGTTTCTTTGTCACGTTGATGCAGGAAAACAGATGTGGGGCGCGAGGAGGGCCGTGTCCCAGGCTTCAGTGGAGCCCCTGGGACGTGCCCTGCCAAGCGTGGGTCCCTGGCTTCACGCAGGAAAGAATTCAAGAGCCAGCCACAGTTGAGTGAAGGTAGATTTATTCAGAGAGATACACTGGAAAGCAAGAGCAAGACCACGAGACGTGGGGGTTGGGTGCTCAGATCAAAAGCAGGTACACACTCTACAGACAGAGTGTGGGCCTCTCTGAAGAGGGAGAGAGAGGGGCGGCCCCGAGGCTCCGTGTTGCTGGTTTTTATGGGCGTGGTGGCTTCATATGCTAATAAGTGGAAGGACCAGCCTAAGGGGAAGGGGCTGGGATTCCCAGGAAGTTGGCCATTTCCCACTCTGTGACCTTTTGTGGCCAGCCTCGGACCGCCCTGGCGCCTGTGGGCGTGTTGCTCCCCATGTTAATATATCACGATGGGCGTGTAACGAAGCTCAAGATCTACTAGAAGTTAAGTCTCTCGTCCTGAGCCTCAAGGTCTACTAGGGGTTGAATCTTCCACCATTTTGATGTTAATTGTGTGGCTTTCCTTGAGTACCTCTGCCGCCCATCCTGTCTCAAGGTCAGTTCTTCAAAGATGTGGTCTCTTTGTCTAGAAGGTCTAAAAGCTGTGTGCTTTGGTCACTTGTCTGGGCCTCATAGTCTTAGGGAACCCCCAGATGGATGTAATTCAATTTGATTTTTCCCCTGTTAATTTTATTTCAGTCTAATTGTTAGGCAGCCAGAAGAACCTAGAAGGGTCGAGGACAATGATCCATCCCCAACGGGATCAACGCGTTTCAGAACTTCTCCAGGAGGTTCCAACATGCAGAAACCCTGGAGCATAAGGAGATTACAGTCCGCTACTCAGACTGTGGCCAGCGGGCCAGGAGCGTCCGTGTCACCAGGGAGCCTGTTAGAAATGCAGGTTCTCAGGTCCCGCCCCCCACCCCCACGGACTCAGACTGCTGACACAGGGCTCCAGGGCTCTGTGTGCACATTAAAGCTGGCTGAGTGCGGGGTGGGATGCCCTTTAATGGGTCCTAATGGGGCCTGCCCGTTGTAACTAGCTCCGTAGATGGAGAAACCCTTTGATAATGTAGCAGTAATGACCTTGCAGGGTGGGGGGTGGGGGGGCGTGTGTGCGGAGTCAGCTGAGAGCAAGACTAGAGAAAGCTGTTGAAGAGGCTTAAAGAAACCAAAAATTTCTGGTTGACTGTTGTATCTGCACAGATTAATTTTCACACAAGTCTCCCAAACAGTCTTACATAGTCCGAGGGGTTTTGTTTGTGACAAGACAGCGCCCAGTGTTCTGTGCTAACCATCCGTGTAATTCTCAGGGCCCCTCGGGCTGCACGTGGTAATCATCCCCATTTGGCAGAAACACAGGGAGGTTAAGAGCCCGCAGCCGCAGCCGTCACCCAGCTAGTCGGTGGCTGAGTGATGGTCTGGTTTTGTTGACCGTTGATTCGTCTTTCGAAATCAAAAGTCAGCTTTATTTTATGGTCAGTGTTGAGAAGGAGTAAGGACCGAGGGTGCCAAGCAGAACTGGGGCCCAGGACCAGCGCTGGTGCTTTTACATCAACACCACTTAATGGCCTGGCCTTTGTGAGGGGGCCAGGGGATTGGGGGAAAACGGGAGGAAAAAGGAATTCTTGGGGTTTTTTATTTGGTTTTTTTTTTCATTTCACTCCTATTCTAAGCCAAGGAAGACCCTGCCCCCATTCCTTGCCTCTCCCCTTCCCCTCCCTGGAGCATCCTGTCAGCCCAGGGGAAGGAACCAGCGGGAAAACGTCCTCACTTGCTCAGAACCCCGCAGGACGGCTGCTGCCGCCCGCCCTGGACCCGCAGAGCCTCACGGCCCCCTACCTGGTCCACAGGCCTATGGAAACCACTGTGGGAAACCTGGGTCAGGACCCTCCCCGACCTGCTCTGCCCCAAAGAGCAAGAAATATCACCGCCTGGCAGCCGCGTCTCAGAACAGAAGCTTTATTTCAATATGCTTATTCTTTTCGGAACAGCACTGGCAACTAGAAACTTGTATGCAACAGTGAACTTCATAACTGTAAAGAAAATAGATCACAGATTGTAACAGGAAACACACCTTCAGTATAAACGGACACATCGCTGTCCCGCACGTATAAAAGTCATGCTCTCTAAGTGCTCCGTCCGCACGTTGTCCTTGTGGGGCACTGAGTTCCAGGGTGCAGTTTCGAAGGTTTACATGTGTCCCGTTGAGTTATGGATATTTCCAGAGAGTTTATAAAGGAGCCACACATTACAAATTTTGAGGGAAAACAAACAAAAAAAGATATATCACAGAGCATTTATTTTAATACTTTTGTTCTGTAAAGAATGAGCATTTCTTAAATATTACAAACGGCGCAACAAATACACTAGCTTACAGATCTGTACAGTGTACTAGTTTATACTTCAAAAATGCAGGAGGATAAATTATATATATATATAATGTTATATATAATTTAAGATCTAGTGAACAATTCAATATTGCTCTTGTGTTGGTCTTGCTGTATTGCATGCATGCCCAGGGCACGCCCATGGCTTGTCACCAGGTGGAAGGGGGACTGGCAGGGACAGTAGGGGACTCACGGGGCCCCATGCTTATTCCCAGAGTGCCACCCTCAAAGCAGTATTTTGAGTTTTGTGACTCGCTGCAGCCAGGTCAAAATCTTCCGTCATCATACGCAACCCAGGACGTGTTCTCAAGAACCACGACGACTCGCTCGGGGATGGGGCCACCTAAGTGCTAAAACCATCTGATTTAGTGGAACTAACACCGCAAGGCCTCAGTCCACGGGGGGGGGGCTCCTAGAAGATAATTTTGAGATCATCATCTCTACCCTCAAGTGCAGTTCATCAAAAGATCTCAGAACAAAGACCATCAATAACCTTCCTATAAACTCACAGGCAACAGCCAGAGGAACGAGTCATGTCTTGAATGAGATCAGATTTTCAGTCATTACAAGCTTCTCGCACTGACGCGGCTGTAAACACTTAAAAACACAGGCGCCGACTTGGGAGGGCTCCGGGAACTTCTGACGTGCGTCGGGAGGAAAGGAGCAGGGCCGGGGGGCCTCACACGGGGGGCCTTTCGGACACTGCGGCCCATGGCAGAGGCCACATTTCACGGTCAGCAAAGAACCCACCCGAGGCCTCTCAGTCGAACCCATCTTGGCCACAAAGGCCTGTTTCTTGTTCCACTTAACCCAGATCTAAATGACAAACTGATGGCATTGCTCTGAGGATACAAATAGAAAGAGGGGAAAGAAAAAGAAATGGGGCAAGTTGAAAAATGTATTCAAGAAAACCTGCCACTGAGCCCTCACTGCGAAGGCTGTGGAACAGCCACTTGGAAGAGAAGGAGCCGGTCAGAGGGTGCGTCTTAGGACCTGACAATGGACTCGGTTCTGGACGCGGTGTTCTGGGCTCCCGGACCCCCGCTGGCACCCAGGCCACTTCCGCACCCTCCCTGCCGGGTTCCCTCTAGGAGGCCAAGGCAGTGGGGAGACGGTGGGGCCAAGGGTTCTCAGAGCACCACCCACACACCAAACACATCACAAGGGTGAGTTACAGGTAGAGCAGAGGGGATGAGACGAAGGCAAGAACATTCAACTGCGGCAGAGAATAACTTTTGTTCTGTGGGAGGTTTGCAGGGGCACCATGGCCTGACCCACGTGGACGGCTGCAGGAACAAGGAATTCCTGCAGCAAGAAGTTTGCAACAGCCAACCACAGCCCCTCCCCTTTTTTGTATAAAAGGAGCCTGAATTCTGACTTGAGGAGGATGGTTCTCCAAGACGTTAGTCTGCCGTCCTCTGGGTCTGCCGGCTTTCCGAATAAAGCTCCTATTCCTTGCCCCAGCACCTCTCCTCCCGATTTATTGGCCTGTCATGTGCCGAGCAGAACGAGTTTGGACTCAGTTACATAACCAGAGAGGGTTCCTGGAGGATCTGTCCTGAGCCGTCCAGTAGTCACTGCGACAGCCCTGCTCTGGAGGGGCAGGGAAGACGCAGCAGGTGCAGGAGAGGGGGGCGTGGGCGAGCGCCCTGGACTTGACCGTCACCACTCTGCCCGAGCTGGCACTGCTCCCCACCAGCCAGGAGGCTCCCGGGCGCAAGCTTAAGGGCCGCCTTCACTTCCTCTGCCTGCCAGGCAGGGACGGGAAGGATGGAGGAAAGGAACACTGCAGAGGCCAGGCCAGCCTGGCGTGCGGAGCGGGACGAACAGGAGAACGTACAGGCTCTGTCGGGGGAGTTCGGGGGGAAGGGAAGCAGAGCCACCCAGACTCGCTGATGGCAGAGCAGTAAGCCGACCGGGCTGTGCCCCGGCCACCCCGCCGCCACCCGGCACGCCGGCACCTGCAGCGGCCGGAACTCGGCTTGAAGGATTAAAGAACTGTTTCCAGAGTGAACACCGCGCTGAGCCGCTCTGAGAAGACGCGTCTAACGAAACGGGCGAGATCACCTCTTACTTGAACGCGTCTTCATTTTCTGGGAAGACACTGGTTACGGACGGATCATCAAAGACACAGTGAACAACTTCTGTCTCAAAGTATTTCATTAAGGTTCAAAGTATGGCGTAGACAGGTCCGTGTCTGTTAGAACACGGATGTGCTTCTGGTGTTCGGATACTGGCCGTTATCGGCCGTTACCCAGCTGGATACAGATCGAGTTATTTAAAAGAAGAAAATCATGCTGGAGGGAAAAAAAATTGTCTAAAAATAGCCACTTTCATTGTTTTTATTTAAAATCTGAGGGCTGGAAGAAGTCACAGCCCTCATGGGTCAAAAGAAGGAAACTTTCACATTTCTGAAACTCTCAAAGTTGTAACACACCGGAGCGTCACTGCGATGTTTCAGCGTTGTCACGGCATCTTCCAACAATTCAGACAGAAAGTGAAGAATTTCTGACACAGCTGCGCACTCTTGGTGCACTCCTCGTCGTACGTGAAAATAAATGCTCTAAAAGGTTACAACGGTGCCTGCTAACTAGGCTTGGTGAGGCGAGGGCACCCCCTCAGAGCAGCCAGGCTCACAGGTCAGCTGGGAATTGACAGCAAACACCCTTTTGGGGGAGAGAGGCCGCGTTACCTGTAATTCAGTCAAAGGACCACGGGAGGGAACAGCCGGGACCCGTCTTCTCACCTCCTCCCTGCCCTCCGCGCCCCTCCCCCTCCTCCCCTGAGGATGTCACTGGCTTCGGAGCGGGGGAGGGGGGGACGCCTGGTCTTGGGGTGGCGCTGCAGCACTGGGTTAACATGCTCTCACATGCACGCGGATGGTCGTTCCTCCTCTCAGCACACGTTGCTGCTTCTGTGGGCACCAGCCCGGCCGCCTCCTGAGGGCGAAGGATGCCTCCAGCAATGGCGGGCACCCCTCTCAGCTCCCTGCCAAGCCCCGCAGGTGCTTTTCATTTTAAGCATCTGGCAGATTCCCTGATTCCGGACGGGGGGGTGGGTTGCTTACTGGTGGTGGGTGTGAAGTGCCCTCTTAGGACAGCAGTGCACATCTCGGTCAAAATGCAATATTTAACACGTGGGCGTCGGACATGCTACCCTGACGACGGTGGGCTTCACGGGGGAGGGGGAGGGGAGGCGAGGGGGACACACCTGGGCTGCTCCCACGGGGGGGCGCTCACATGACCACGCACTTGCCCTTGAGTTTCTCCTTCCTCTTCTGCTGCTTGCTCTTTTTCCCGTCGATCTGTAGGCTCACGGTCCTGCGCTTCTCCAGGTTGAGCAGTTCCTGGAAGAGCTCCTTCACGTTGTGGTTGAGCTTGGCCGACGTCTCCATGAAGGCGCACTTCCACCTGCGGGCCAGTGCCTCGGCCTCGCCGCTCTCCACCTCGCGGCTGGGGCTCTCGTCACACTTGTTCCCCACCAGCATGATGGGGATGCTCTCCACGTCCCCTTTGATCTCGCAGATTTGTTCGTAGATGGGTTTGAGCTCCTCCAAGGACTGCCGGCTGGTGATGGAGTAGACCAGGATGAAGGCGTGCCCCTTGGAGATGGACAGCCGCTGCATGGCGGGGAACTGGTGGCTGCCCGTGGTGTCCGTGATCTGCAGGGTGCAGATGCTCTTGTCACAGCTGATGACCTGCCGGTAGGTGTCTTCCACGGTGGGGATGTAGCTCTCCCGGAACGTGCCTTTCACGAACCGCAAGACCAGGGAGCTCTTGCCCACACCACCTGCCCCGAACACGGCCACCCGGTAATCGTTGCTCTGTTCCGGCATGTTGCTGGAGGGCTCCAACTATCAACTAGGAAACACCTAGCAAAGGAACCAGATGTTCGAGAGAATTAGTTAAAAAAAAAATCTAGAAAAAAGATTCCATTTTACCCCCTTGATAGCTTACAAAGAAAAGCTGGACGTGATGAAGTGTGCTTTCGCTTTCCCAATTTCATTTAAAAATTCTGTAATTCTAACTCCAGCCATTGCAGTCAATCCTCAGTTTGCAACAGGACTGTCGAGCTGCTGAGCAGCTAAGGGGAGCCAGTCTGCTTCCCCTGGTGGGACCCCGGTTCTGAGCAGCTGCGCTCGCACATGGCCCCGTGCCCCGAAAGGAGGCGGTGTCCGGGAAGCGGGGTGCAGGGCGGGAATCACCCCCCCAACCCCACCAACACACACGTGTAGCCGGCGTATCTTTGCTGCTTAACCTGGAACACCCCGTGTACTGGTCACGGTGTGTCATTTTTCACAATTCTGGGGAGGGAATTAAAGAGGAGGATGTGACCAATATGCAGTGTTTCTATTAACTCATGAAATCCTCACCGCCTTGCCGACCTGGGGTCCCTGTCCCTCCTGCACAACGAAGACCCTGGAAACGCAGGAGGAATCGGGGAGCGTCAGGTTCCCCGGCGTCACCCAGCCCATGAGAGGGGAGGCAGGGGGGTTCGGGCTGCAGTGGCCCTGCCGCCCACGGCGGTCCCATGGCGGGCCGGACAGGGCACTGGCCGCGGGGGCCCGGGCGCCGCGCAGGCCACGGTGCAGACTGTCTCGTGAACCAGCAAGAGCTGACGGCTGACTGAGAAGGTCGGAGGGTCCTTGCATCCATCAAAATTAACGTGCTTATAGGTGCTTTATTCTTAAGAACTATAAGAAGTATTACTAAGACCGCAGGATAAACCACTACTCATGGCCATTGAGATGGAGCAGAATGAGAGTTTCCCTTCCTCACAAACATGACCCTTCATCCAGGGGGTAAGTGGACTGTCCTCACACACAGATCATCCAGTAGCTTTCATCCTGCCGCTCCTCTGGTAAGCAAGGACATAGAACATGCAAAAACGGGACTCCAGCAACGTCCAAATTTCTTTGTAACCAAAGTGGACAAATAAGATGGTGACGGGAAGGAGAGAGCCCGTTTCCTCCCGGCACCCACTGGGCTGACTTTTATTTTTCTAATCGTAGAGTAACTGAGGGCCATAAAAGGCATTGCTCCAAGTCATTTTCAGAGGCCAGTAAAAATTAAACATAATAAGCTGTGGACAGAAATGGGGGTGTGAGGTGGGTAACTACTGACAGACAGAGCGTTGGATCAAAGCCCCGGACTGTGACACCCCATCTCCTGTTTCTTTCTGAGTTTGCCACAGACATTTGCCTCCACACACTTGCTCAGTTAAGCACTCAGCTGTCCTTGTGTGCCCTTTGGAATCCCTAATCTATCAAGGAACTAGAGAAATATCCGTGCTAAAAGAAAATCTAGAAAGATACCCGGGAGCGCATTAACAGCAAAAGGCTGAGAGAAAGACCGATTAGGAGTTTTAATCAGCCTATTAAATGTTCATGAGATCATTATGAGACATTCACGAGTACAGTACTGAGACAGATTGTTCTGTATTTTAAAAAATGCAATTGTCTGCAGAATCGGGCTTGAGAACGTCTCTCTGCAGCCTCAGCATGAGCTGCTCTTTGTGCTCGGAAAGCGGCATCCTGGCTCAGCCTCGCCTTGCGTTGTGGGTATTTCGTTCCAGGCTCGAGTGTACGCTTCTAGCCGGAAGGGGACACGTCCTGAAAGGCTCTCCATCCCCAGATCTCAACGGGAGCTCTGAGTCTTTAGCTCACACTCGTTCCGCGTTTGGTGACTATGTTGTCGGCCACACTAAGGCGTCTCCATTGTTAATGGGGCAACCGACAGACAGAAAGCAAACACTAAACGTGAAAAGACTCCACAAGCTACTGTTACTCACTTGCCCAAGAACCGTCTACGGAGCTTCCTCCAAAGGCCAGGCTCCGGGCAAGTGGCCAGCAAACCCGCGCAGAGGACAGACCTCAGGCAGGGGCTCTCTCCTTGTGCAGCTCATGAGGATCAGGTGGACCAGGCAGGCATGGAAGGATACTTCAAATAGTTAACAAATTGCATCACGGCAGTGCCGAAAATGAGAGGCATGAAGGGACCTAACCAAACCTGAGGTACCAAGAGTGGCTTCCCTGAGGAGGTGGCATGGGAGCGGGACCCCGGAAGTCACAGAGGAGACAGCCAGGTGAAAGCAGTAAAGCTCAGTGTGATGTGCGAGGTAAGTCTGGGGCAAGAACTCCGTACTGACCCTCAACAGGTCTTCCCCAGCCTGCAGACTATACTCATCACTCATTCATTTTACAAGCATCTGTAAAAATCCCTCTACATAATATTCAAGCTCAGTGCTTACCCAGTGGAAGCTCACAGCAGTAGAAGGCGGACGGGCACAGGAAAGGATACAGTACACCCCACCGAGCAGACGCTGCGGGAAAAGTCGTAAACAAAGGCAGGAGGAGACCCTGGTGGGGCATCGAGTTCTGTCTGGGGCCCTCGGGAAGGATGCCCCAGAGGGCTGGGTGAAGATGGGGAAGGAATGAAAGGCCTTCTTGCAGAGGCACAAGGGCAGGAAGAGATCCCACGTTCATGCCGTGGTAGAGAGCTGGTGTCAGTCGGCATCTGGGGGCAGAGCGAGGAGAGCAGGTGAGTGGTGGCGCCTTTCATCAGCATAAAAGGCTGAATAGAGAAATGAGTTTGGAAACAAAGGTGATGGGTGGTGAGGAGCAGGGACCTGTGATTGGGTCAGTTTTGTAGGACACGCTGGTGGAGCTATCTGGGTTTTGGTTTGAAACCACCAGAGAAGTGACTGGGTTTTAGTTTGAAAGCTCAGAAGAGAGGTCTACTTGAGTGAGAAACGTGTGGTTACCACCCATACATAAAAAATAGTATAATAAATAAACATCTCCCGGAGAGAAGGCACGTAGCCTGAAAAAAAGATCAATTGCCAAATCTGATGTGCGCTAGCAAGACATGGCAAGTTCCTTGCATAAAATTTGTGCACTTGAGTTGCCAGACCTAGGAAACGAGGAGACTGACACCACTTTCCCCACTGAGCTGTTCTGGATTTAGTAAGATTATACAGGACCAAGCAAAGCTCTCTATTTTCAGTAAGAACTGGGAAGAAAGTGGAGGGGATCCACAAAAGAGCAGTGAGGACAGAAAAGCTCAAGAGACGATGACAAAAATGTCAAAAAGAATTTGAGAGGACTCAGCTGAAGTGGTGCTCAGAAGGAAATTAGTTATAAACAGCTACATTAAATAAGAATAAAGATCTCAAATCAGGAACCTGATCTTCCACTTTAAAAGAGCAAATTGAACCCAAAGGAAGCAAAATGAAACAAAGATCACAATGGAACGTAATAAAGGGTAGAAACCAATAGAAAAAAAATTAATAGAACCAAAATTTTGTTCTTCAAAAATATCAACAAAATTTATCTTTTGCTAGACTGAACAAACAAAAGTGGGAAACCTTAAATTATTAAAATCAAGAATGAAAGAGGAAACATAACTGCTGACCTTGCAGAAATAAAGACTATAAGGGCACGGCCAACTGTATGCCAACAAGTTACATAACCTAGATGAAGCAGACACAAACTGCCAAAGCTGACTCCAGAAGAAATAAAAAATCTAAATAGACCTTTAACAGGCTAGTAATCAAAAAGCCGTCTACAGAGAAAAGCCCAGGTCCAGATGGCTCCACTGGTGAATTCCAGCAAACATTTAAAGAAGAATTAATACCAATCCTTCACAGAGTTTTCCAAAAAAACTTAATAAGAGAGATCACTTCCTGCTCTTTCTGAAGCCAGTATTACCCTGAGCAATACGAGGCAAAAATGTCACGAGAAAACAACAGACCAGTATCCATAAAAATCTTCAACAAAATACTAGCAAATTAAATCCATCAATATACAGAAAGGATTATACATCATAACCAAGTAGGATTTATGCCAGCATGCAAGGTTGGTTTAACATCCCCAAAATTAATACAACACACCATATCAATAAAAGGCAAAAAACATATCTCGATAGATACAAAAACTTGACAAAATTCAGCACCCAATTATGTTAAAACAGAATACAGATTATTCTGAATGATTTTATTCTTTCTAAATGATCATGAAAATAAAATCCCAAATTAAAACATTATTAAAAACTGGGAAATCTTAATAGAATTCATTCCCAGACCCTAGTTAACGGAACACCATTGTCAAGAGATCAAGTGTAACAGATCAAGAAAGTAAGGCTTTGATTTTGGAGAGTAGCGGGAAGTTGTTCAATGACAGGGATATTGAATAATACCGCCCTGAACTGAGAAGGAAATTTGAGACTGAAAAACAAAACAGGGAAACTCCAAAAAGTACAGTTACGGCTTATTGCAGGTAACTTACACACGGGTAGGGTCAGGCAGGCGGCAATCCAGAAGCGTTCACAGCTGCACCCCACCCTGCTGGGAGGGGTACAGGGGAATTGAAAGGGGCCAAAGGGAAACACGGAATCGGACCACTCAGGGAGAGGCCGCATGTCCTCGCCAACAAGAAGCGGGGTGTCTTCTCGCCCCGGGGGTCTTACGACCATTATTCCTCGAGGACCATCAAACACCTGTGCCAGCAAAAGGCATTCTTCCAGACTTCGTATCAGATGAAGGCACGGGTAAGAGCTGACAGGGAACTTCTCTGAGCGTTCCGTGTGGGCAGGCTAGGCCTTGGTCAGGCAGAAAGGGGAGGAGATGGAGCTGACAAAAAATGGAGTCAGCGTGGTTCAGCCACACAGAAGTAGATGAAGACTGGCAGAGTTTCAGCTAAGTGGCACGATGCGGGGTAGGAAGGGAGTCGAAGTCCTTTTGCAGTGGGTAGGAGCATGGTGGTGTCGACTGAAGCCGACTGAAGCGCAGCCTAAAAGTTGAGAGTCATGTTTTATCTGGTGGGAGGACTCGAGCCAGCATGACAGCCCCTCAGGTGGCTCTGAGGGACGGCTC